TTGTTTATTCTCATTAAATGCACAGAACAGCAGCTTTATATTCAAGTACAGGTGCAGAATTCCGTACCAGTTAATTGATAAAGTGCCAGAAAGAAACAAGTATGGCCATTGCAGCTGGGCCAGAGCAATTTACATATCCAAAGTAATGCAGCGTTCTGGTAGTAGCTGTTAGCCCTGACACTGTGCAGACCACAGGCCTTTTCAAGCACAGTCTATTTTGGTGGAAACCTTCAAGAAGCTTGTGGATCTTACTTTTCCATGGTTCCTAAAGAAAAATATACTTACATGGTATGGTACTATGTGAACCCCATCACGCGAAGGTTGATGCCAGACCTTCACAGAATAGCACAGAACAGCGAAACACTTCTGCAACTTGCAGTTACATACCATATTCCATTATAAATCTCTGCACATCTTGTAAGATCTATGCACGTGCAGTAGACCAACTCTGAGCCAAGAGTGCAGCTACTCTGTTCAGCACACATTTGCACTTCATTTCCACGTGGTTCTTCTGGTTTCCATTTCCATTTCTTACCAGTGTGGACTGACAGAAAGCAGACAAGAAGTGTTCACTTTCTTTGTTGTATGCCCAAGTCCTGTGGGGAAAAAAAGAAAGATACACTTTATAGGCACGCAGATTATTTGACAGTTGTCCTCCTCATCATTTTTGCCGTATGCTCCAGGAGAAAAGCAGTGCCTTTCCTCATGGAATCATACAGCTTTTATTTTCCTGGCTGAAGAAAATGGATGTAGCAGAACGTGTGGGAAAAGACAGCAAATTGATGGTGTGGATTTGGTTGACTTGGAAGTTACGTGTTGATAAGGAGATGTTCAGGAAGTGTGGCTTTTGAGATGGGAAAGTGGTCAGTTCCCGTTGATGCTTCAAGGGCTGTAGATTGTACTATGAAGTTACCAGTGAAGTGGCGGCAGCAGCACCATCCCTCCCCTCTGCGCTGGAAGTTGCTGTTTGTTCTCAGTGCCAGCCCCATTGTGGGCGACCCTCAGTGCTTCCCACTGCCAAGTGCATGTTTCAAGGCGGTATGTGTGAACTAAACACAGTGCATCCTTCCCCCACCCGCTGCCTGTCAACTTCTGTGAGCACTGACAAAACACTCTGTGACAATGTAAGTCACTTTGGCATCATCGCAATGATGACAGTGGTTATGGGCCTCATTCAACACCCTGTCGTACCCCC